ACGGGAACGGGAACGGGAATGGGCTGGGAATGGGAGTTCTGGGAGCTGCCGATCCCGAGTGCTCAGGGCTCCTGCTCTGGGAATCGTGGAGTGGGAATTTCACCTCCTGCTCGAGCCCAGATGCCTAAAAAAGGGCATTTCCAGCCCTGGGAATTCCAGGGAGGATCTGGAAACGATCTGGGCATCAAAACCACTTCATTTTCTCACCTGGTCCCGTAACAGTTCATCCCGTGATCCTGGTTTTTGAGTGGTGGGATTTTGGCTGAGCTGTGGGGGTGTGTGGATGGATTCCACTGGGAAAAGGTGTAGGAAGCTGCATCTCCATCATCCAGAGTGGCCACATTTCCCTGTGGAAAAAGCTTGGGATGGGATTTGAAGCAGTGCAGGAAGTAGGGAATGTTTCTTCAATGGAAGATCCCATTGCAGAGCAGGGAATGGGATTTTTGGGAGCTGCCGATCCCGAATGCTCAGGGCTCCTGCTCTGGGAATCGTGGAGTGGGAATTTCACCTCCTGCTTGAGCCCAGATGCCTAAAAAAGGGCATTTCCAGCCCTGGGAATTCCAGGGAGGATCTGGAAACCATCTGGGCATCAAAACCACTTCATTTTCTCACCTGGTTCATCCAGAGAAAATCTCTCTGGATCTCTCTCACCTGGTTCATCCCGTGATCCCGGTTTTTGAGTGACGGGATTTTGGCTGAGCTGTGGATGAATTCCACTGGGAAAAGGGGTAGGAAGCTGCATCTCCATCATCCACATTGGTCAAACAGACCTTATTTCCCTGTGGAAAAAGCTTGGGATGAGATTGAAAGCAGTGCAGGAAGTAGGGAATGTTTCTTCAATGGAAGATCCCATTGCAGAGCAGGGAATGGGATTTTTGGGAGCTGCTGATCCCAAGTGCTCAGGGCTCCTGCTCTGGGAATCGTGGAGTGGGAATTTCACCTCCTGCTCAAGCCCAGATGCCCAAAAAAGTGCATTTCCAGCCCAAGGAATTCCAGGGAGGATCTGGAAACTACCTGGGCATCAAAACCACTTCATTTTCTGACCTGGTTCATCCCGTGATCCCGATTTTTGAGTGGTGGGATTTTGGCTGAGTTTTGGGGGTGTGTGGATGGATTCCACTGGGAAAAGGGGTAGGAAGCTGCATCTCCATCATCCAGAGTGACCAAATGGACCACATTTCCCTGTGGAAAAAGCTTGGGATGGGATTGAAAGCAGTGCAGGAAGTAGGGAATGTTTCTTCAATGGAAGATCCCGTTGCAGAGCAGGGAATGGGATTTNGGGTTGTCCTGGTGGGAACGTGCACAGTTCCAGGGGGAGCTCAGGTGGGAAGGGCTGGGCAGCTCCTTCTGCCCTCATGCAGGACCTGGGGGAGCTCCGGGAGAGCTGGAGGGAGCTGGGAAGGGCAGGAATCCCCCAGGAGCTCTTTGGAGCCCTCCTTGGGGTGTCTGGCGGGTCCCAGTGGGGCAGGAGCTGCAATCCCTGTGTCCCATTCCCAATCCCTGTGTCCCATTCCCACAGATCCCTGTATCCCATCCCTGTATCCCAATCCTGTATCCCATTCCCCCAGATCCCTGTATCCCAATCCCTGTATCCCATTCCCCCAGATCCCTGTATCCCAATCCCGTATCCCATTCCCCCAGATCCCTGTATCCCATTCCCAATCCCTGTATCTCATCCCTGTATCCCATTCCCAATCCCGTATCCCATTGCCCCAGATCCCTGTATCCCATTCCCAATCCCTGTATCCCATTCCCAATCCTGTATCCCATTCCCCCAGATCCCTGTATCCCATTCCCAATCCCGTATCCCATTCCCCCAGATCCCTGTATCCCATCCCTGTATCCCATTCCCAATCCCGTATCCCATTCCCCCGTATCCCTGTATCCCAATCCCTGTATCCCATTCCCAATCCCGTATCCCATTCCCACAGATCCCTGTATCCCATTCCCAATCCCGTCTCCCATTCCCCCAGATCCCTGTATCCCAATCCCGTATCCCATTCTCCCAGATCCCTGTATCCCATTCCCAATCCCGTATCCCATTCCCAATCCCGTATCCCATTCCCAATCCCGTCTCCCATTCCCCAGATCCCTGTATCCCAATCCCTGTATCCCAATCCCTGTATCCCATTCCCGTATCCCATTCCCACTCCCGTCTCCCATTCCCCCAGATCCCTGTATCCCATCCCTGTATCCCAATCCCGTCTCCCATTCCCCAGATCCCTGTATCCCATTCCCAATCCCGTCTCCCATTCCCAGATCCCTACGCCATCGTGTCCTTCCTGCACCAGAGCCAGCGGTCGGTGGTGGTGAAGAACACCCTGAACCCCACGTGGGACCAGACCCTGATCTTCTACGAGATCGAGATCTTCGGGGCCCCCCCGGGCGAGGCCCAGGCCCCCCCCAGCGTGGTGGTGGAGATCTTCGACCACGACACCTACGTGAGCCTGGGCTGCCAGTGGGAACGCGAATGGGAACGGGAACGGGAATGGGCTGGGAATGGGAGTTCTGGGAGCTGCCGATCCCGAGTGCTCAG